CTTATTTACGGACACATTTTTTCCAACTGGAGATATCGACGAGCGAATGCTGGAAGACATGGAAGCTCGTTAAACGCCAGTTTCTTCTGATCCGATCAAAATCACATGCCTTCGTTGACGTCCTACCATTTACATGAAACAATCCAGTTTTGGACATCAGATCGCGATAGTCAATCATCCCGAATAGAAAAAAAAGTTGTCTGTGTTAACTGGTAGATAATCGAGTACTAACGCAGACAAAAGAATCATTCCAAGTCAGAAACAATGTGAGTTAGGTTCTAGCTGTCCCCATCAGCTGCTCTCTTGCTAGTTGCTTCGTGAGCAGACACATTCATACACTCGTAAACACAGAAACTTGTGGAAATGTTATCTTGATCCACGCGAAGTTGCTTACTACGATAGTCAAAAGTAAAGTTACAATTTCGGGTGACTTTTTCCGGTTTTATTCTTCTGTAGTTTATATTTACAGATTATTGTTTTTCTCTCCCAATTATCTTATTATTCATCGCTTATGCTCTCAAGGTATCATGTCAAGTAAATAAGTTGGAACCACCTTCTTGCAATATACACAACTTGGAAAACCTGTAAGGTATGAACACGGGTCAGTAGTGAGTCGAAAATCCTAGTCTGAGCGATGTAGCTGTGAAAAAGCTCGAAATGTCAGTTTACAGAGTACTTCGTTCTCAGTCCGGATTACTCGACCCAAACACCTACACTGAATTTCTGATAAAGACTTCTTACTCTTCAAAAGATCACTAGCAAAATAAGAATGGGAGAAAAGAGCGTCCCGAAGCTCAACTTACACCGGTCAATCGTTCAGAAGTCACAACAGGAAACTGTATTGTTTTGCTCAAAGCCAGTCAAAACCAGCGACTTTGCTTCTGAATGCAACTTCTGTAGTATATGGGTCCATCGTTATGCTAAAATACAGTACTCAGAGGGTACTACGGCTACATGCTGAATCACCTCTGTCCGTAGTTCTGGTATATCGTTCACAATGCAGAATCACCGAGACAACAACAAAATTAGCATCAGCAAAGCCAGAGGCCGCACAAAATATCAGCCTACAATCCTTCAGGTAAACCTAAATCGCCCAGCACTAAACCACCGAAACAGGCGAAAAGAGTAGCCATAAACCCGAACCAACATCCCGAAAAACTGCGGCACTTTTGTACCTCCGCCCCAATAAATATCCATTAGCAGTGCGGAAACAGTGGGGTGAGTGTAAAAAAAGGAAACTGCTACACCACAGATCAGCAATATGTTACAAATCAGGGACAGGGATGTTAGACCTGATTCATCACTTTTATTATATTTGCCACCAGTGTTTGTACGGTAGCCCACTAGAAAGTAGGAGTTGCTTTTGACTAGAATGAACACTGGGACAAGAACTGCGCAATCCTTCGAATGAGCAAAATATG